AAAAGAAAGAAAGAAAGAAAGAAAAAAATAGTAAGAATGATGAAGCACCTACTTAGAAAAAGGAAGAAAAAAGTTAGTTGGAAAAATCATGAATTCATGCTCAAGAAAAGCATTTGAGTAGAAACTAACCAATTCCAATAAAAAGGTATCGATTTCCCCTAAGCAGTGCAAATTACACAGAGGAACTGACAACACTGACTCCGAATCATAACCCTTTGTTTTTCCTTTTTCTTGTTTATACCACCATGACCCTTAGCCCATTAAAATTGTTGCGGTGAGAGTCAGATATCAAGCTATTAATTAACTTGAATCATAAATCATGAAGTTCACCACTGAGCTTTGATTTATCCAAAGGAAAGGGTAAAGATCGGAGAAAACCCTAAGTGCGCTATGTAACAACACAACTAGAGAATCTAAGGTTCGGGGGTTGGTTATACCTAGGGAAGGTGTTAACATCCTAAGTATCTGTAGTACTCTACAAGAACCTCTTGTTAGTATTTGTGTTATGTTAATGTTTGCTTGCTAAGAAAATGATGCTAAGGTAAAGACATAGGGTATATACAAAGTATGCTCGCCAAGACGTCGCATCTCGTGCCTACGTATCCTAACTAGGATGGAATCAAAGCAATCGTAGTTCACCTAACTAGGGATGAGGAACTCTTAATAACGATCAAGGTTCCAAAGGGGAGTAAGTATCCATAACCATGATACTTACGTAGAGTTAACCAACTCTCTAGATCTAAATTGAAAACTAACTAAAGTTGACTTTAACAAAAGTCTAAGGGGAAATGAGTACTCATAACAATAATACTCACATAAAGTTCACCAACTCTAAACCTAATTCTAAGTTATTAAGCCAATTGGTTCTAACAAGACCAAAAGTAGGAAGTTAAGTTTTAGTTGTTAGTGGTTAGAGGGCTCGACAAAATATCACATCTTGTGCCTACGCATCCTGACTAGGAAAGGGGAATCAGAGCCTCTGTAGTTTGTCTAACTAGGGGTGAGGAACTCTTGATAACGATCAAGGTTCCAGGGGGAAGGTAAGCGTCTGTGGCAAGACACTTACATAGAGTGCGGCGACTCTAAACCTAAACTAGGTTACAACAGGAAAGACTCTCACAAGGTCTCGGGGAAAAAATGGACAAGGCTATCCAACATGACATGGCAATCAACATAAATGATTCTTTCCTTTGGAATCATGCACAAACAATTATAAAGATTCGGAAGCCACGGGTGAGCATCAAATAAGATAGGAATCATAATGTCAGAGGAGTACAAAGCAAAATCTCAAACATCAAAACTAAGATCATGAGCAAATAACACTGTATGTACAAAACAAGGATCAAGACATGTAATCGGATCATAATGAAAAGGTATCTTGAATAAATATCACCAATTAGTTAAGACAAAGTATCAAAAATTAATCGAGGAAAATCAGGCCAAAACATGGAGGCATACAAATCATGAAATAAAAATCAGGCCGCGAGAAGAATTATTAATTAATTTTAACATTAATATTTAATAAAATTAATTAATAATTTAATTAAATAAAAATATTTAAAATAACTAATAATTATAACATTTTTTTTACATTTTCTAAACAGATAATTAACTAGAAATGAAATACGATTTTTGGTCTTTTCAACAAAATAACTTTACAGTTTTAAAAAAAAAAATCTACCAGTCTAATTAGAACTAGAAATAAATAAAATGTTTTCTTATTTTCTTTATACATTATACCAATTAAATAATATAGACAAATAGTTAAAATTAAATAATAAAATGAGTAAATAATTAAAAACTAATAATGGGCTTAAATCAAAATATCACACTTTTAGCCCAAAAACAAAATTAACTCATAAATAATAAAATTAATTTCACTAATTAAAAATGGCTAGGACTTATTAAAAGCAAAGAGAAAGTCTACAACACCAACCCATATATTAACACAATTTAAAGTCAAACATCACTAAAAATGCTTCAATATGAACCAAAATTCTTGTTCATCCTCTCTTGCCCAAAATTGCCAACACACAAGCAGCTACATACTAATACTATATTTAAAATATCATGAACGAATGTTTGTAATCTAATAACTCAACAAGAACAATTACATAAACATGAAAATTAAGTATATAACAAAGGCATAAAACATAAACTCATTCACATATACATGACAATTAAGTAAAACATTTCAAAAACTCTACTCACGCAACCATAAAGATAAAAACCAAAATAAGTCTATGCATGCTAGTATGTTTACATAAAAATGTAATAAAACCAAAACCCAAACTCTAAAACTTAATGACTAAGTTTTCTAATAAAAGATAAAAACAAAACAAATATTATATATGTACAAAAATAATGATAATAAAATAAAATTAAATAAAAAAAATATGAATTAATTTAATTAACTAAAAAGATTATTTGATTAAAATAAAAAAGAATAAAAAAAGAGTAAAATATGAGTAATTGGACCGACATCGAAGTATTCAGAAAAATAAAATGAATACACCAAAATACTCAGCGCGAAATATATGTATTGGAAAAATACAGCGTTTGGTCGAATTCCAAAATAAATTTTACCCGGTCAAATGACTTAAACTGATCAATATGCGACTGAAAAGTGGTCGAAAAATTTAAATGAGCACACCAGGTTAAACTACGCGAAATGTAGATTAATACCACTGACGTTTGCATGCTCGATTTTAAAATTCTCCCTCCACTGATTTTATGCACAATTGACTTTTGATTTGACCGATTTAGCTGTAAATTCAACAAGTTTATTCTGACTGATAAATTTGGTATTATGCAAGATGATTGACCTAGAATGATTTGCAAAAGATCAAAGAATCTAAGGGTAAAATTTGGGGTATGACAACAACCGTAAAAGACCTCGAAAGGTGTGTAAGTGTGTGTGTGTGTGTGTGTGTGCGTGTGTTATTAAGATAGATGGTATTTAAGTTTATGGGTTAATTTTACATAATCTGCTTTGAGTGTGAACACCTTAACCATGAGAGATATTGGTGAGGATGTGAAAAAGCTGACAGGTGAAGGACTGTTTTGATGTGGAAGTGCATCAGAGAGTTCAGATAGGGAAGTAGGAAACATAAGGAAAAGTGAAACAAGAGTTGCGAAAGACATCGGCATAGTTGTGGTAAATTGGTTTCGAAATTGGGGTGAACTTGAATGCTCTCTCAAAGCATTGCTTGAGGACAAGCAATGAGCTAAGTTTGGGTTATGATCAGTCACCATTTCTATGTTGTTACCCACGCTTATTCGACATCTAATCCACGAACCGGTAATGTTTATGTTAGTCTTTTTTACTGTTTTTGAATAATATTTACTATCTTTATGTTTTTCTCGAGTTGTATGATTTTCTAGTGATTTTGTTATATTTGGTGCATTTTACGCGTTTGGTAGTGGTCTTGATGATTTCAGGTCTATGCGGAGAAAGGAAAAAGACTCGGGCTAAGAAATAGGAGATTCGGGAAAAGTTGGAGGAGTTTTACAAGCATGCAGTGGCCTGACACGGCCACCCGTGTCACCTGACACGGGCCGTGTCAGGAGAGTAGCTAGAAGGCCGTGTTAGAGGACAAAACAAGGGGCTAACACGGGTGCCCGTGTCAGCAAGTCTTGCATAATATGCATTTTATCTATGGAACAGGGAGCCAACACAGCTGCCCATGTCAGCTGACACGACCCATGTTGGCTTGGGTGTGTCATCCCCCAATTTCCTGTTATTTTTGACTTTTTTGACCCCTGAGGGTATTTTTGGAATTTCCTGACTTCTGTATTGGATCTGTTAGTATTTAAGACACATTTGGACAAAGAAGAAGGGGACTTTTGACTTTTGCACTTTTGGACAAGAAAAGGTTTTAACAAGAAGGATTGAGTGATCAAGAGGAAAGGGAGAACATAAGGTTTTCAAGGGCGGAAGCAATTGAAGATCAAAGTAATCCCCAAGTATTCTTGTAATGTTAAATTTAATTGTTGAATTTACTTTTTATTACTATGAGAGGCTAAACCCCCCAATGCTAGGGGGTGTCCCTGAATTGCCATTGCATTGATATTATTTCCTTGTGAATGACATAAGCACTTATTTTATTTAATCGAGGTTTATCGTTAAATGATTTTATAACTTTTTCAATCGGACAAATTGAGTTAATTTTACGGTTAACCCTAGGTCGGAAAAACCATTGTTAAAACAATTTAGTCGATAATGCCTCAGTAGATAATTCCTAGGACTAGGATTACCCTATGTGCACTTGAATACTGCTGAAACTATTTTCAATGCTTGATTTCAAATTAATTATCTATGGACATAGTAAATTGATTATGATTTTAAAGGTTTACTCACTAAGGCCTTAGGAGCGAACAAAAGTAGCAGTCAAGAACTTGATAAAAACTGTGTTTCTGTTTAAGAAACAAGGATTGATATTTCTACAAGGCAATTCACACACTGCCCCTAGTATGCCCTCATATCTTGTTGAATCCTATTCTTTAGTTTGCATTATTTTAAATATTGTCTTTTATTATTTTCAAACCCAATCTAAAAACCCCCAATTGAGTTTTGTTTGATTGAATACAAATTACGCTTATATTGCCTAACGCAGTCCTCGAGATCGGGAGAACTCTCTTATTTTAACTACAATCGGCAGAATAATACACTTGCTATTTTTTTTATCACAAACACATGTATGGAGTCTTCTCAACCCATCTATATTATTGAAAATGACAAACCAAACGATATTGATGACAACTTGAAAGTAGGGATGGTGTTTGAAAATAAGGAAGCATGTGTTCTTTTTTTTTTTTTGCAACATTGGCATATAAATAACAATCTTGACTATGGAGTATATAAATCTGATTTAGTAAGGTATATAATAAAATGCAAGAATCCACAGTGCATGTTCACATGTAGAGCTGCATTGCGTAAAAAGAGCATATTATGGGAGATCGCTACTATAAGTGGATCCCACACTTGCACAACAACTTCTATGTCACAGGATCATAGAAAATTAGATTCGGAAATTATTAGCCACAACATTAGGGAACTTATTAACAACAACATTTCACTAAAAGTCAAAGTGATACAAGCCCATATTGCGAAAAAATACGGTTATAGAATATCATATCGGAAAGCTTGGATTGCAAATATTAAAGCCATAAAATCACTTTATAGGAATTGAGAGAAGTCTTACAATGAATTACCATAATGGTTGTTGGTGATGAAGACATATCTTCCTGGAACTGTTATACAGTTGGAAACTCAATTGGGCGGCAAACAAAAATTTCACCGACTTTTTTGGGCATTTGAACTGTGTATCCGTGGTTTTACTTACTGTAAACCTATTGTGCAAATTGACGGGACATGGTTGTACGGCAAGTACAAAGGGATTTTGTTGATGGCTGTGGCACAAGATGGAAATGGTAACATTTTTCGGATAGCATTCGCATTGGTTGAAGGTGAGACAAAGGATGGTTAGAGTTTCTTTCTCAGGAAATTGAGAATGAATGTGACCCCCCAAACCAATCTGTGTCTCATATCCGACCGACATCCATCAATCAAGAGTGCTTACGATGATCCTAAAAATGGGTGGTCGTATCCTCCATCTTCACATGTTTAATGTATCAGACACATTGCGCAAAACTTCATGCGTGAGTTCAGAGATAAAGAACTACGGAAAACAGTTGTCAACATGGGTGTGCCTACATATTCATGTGTTAATGTTTCAATAAATATTTATTGACTAATTGATTTTCATATGTTTTACTGAACATTTTTACTTTACATTTTTCCTACAGGATATGCATTAACGGAGGCAACATTTAACTACTACCAGGGCAAAATACGAAGAACAAATAGAGCAGCTTTGGAGTGAATAAACAGTATTTCCAAAGAGAAGCGGTCGATGGCGTTTGACAGAGGACAGCGGTGGGGACACATGACAACAAATTTGGCCGAAGCTATCAACTCGGTACTTAAGGCTACCCGAAACCTTCCTATTACTGCATTGATTAAGTCAACGTTCTATCGTCTGGGATCGGTGTTTGAAAAACGAGGACACGATTGGACAAAACTGTTGGTATCTAGTCAAACTTTCACGGATAACTGTAATAAGGGAATGGCCGAAGAAGCGAGTAAGTCTAGCAGCCATAATGTCATCCAATTTGATCGCGAGAGATTCTGTTTTATGGTTGCCGAAAGGATTAATCAACACTATGGCCGACCATTAGGTACTTTTAGCGTTGATCTCAAGAGAGGGTGGTGCGATTGTGGGAGGTTTCAAGCATTTCATTTACCTTGCTCCCATGTAATCGCAACATGTGCTAGTATACGGCAGAACCACAACATGCACATACCAGATGTTTTCAAGATTCTGAGTGTATTCAAAGTCTACCGCGAAAGCTTCCTTGGACTTCCACACCACGAAAATTGGCCAACATATGAAGGATTTACTCTTTGCCATGACGAGACAATGCGAAGGAATAAGAAAAGGCGTCCAAATAGTACAAGAATTAGAACCGAAATGGACGATCTTGAGAAAGAAAAGAGAAGATGTGAGATTTGTCAAGAAATTGGCCATATACGTAGAAAATGTCCGAAAGTAGCAGGTTTGTCAAATCGGCCCGTTTAAATTAATTTATTTGGTTTTTAAATTATTTTTTAAAACATTTATTATATTATAATCTCTATTATATAAGTTTTAAATATTTTAAAACATCATAATAGTTTTTAATATTTAAAAAACAATTCAATATATTAAAATATAATAAAACTTATATATTTATATTTTAAAAAAAAAATGGGCCTTCAATGGTTCGGCCAATGGTTGACCGAATCCATTCATGGTGGAGTTCTTCTTCAATGACTCGTCCTTCCAATGTACGACCCCTAACACCAGTTGTGGCAGTCTAGTACATTTTTTCAACTTATGATAATTTGGAACATATTATTTCAAATCGTGACATTTTAGTAAAAAACTCTTAAACAAGTCTTCAGATTCCTTAGTAAGAGTCCTGATGTCTTCCTCTCCTAGTGGTTTAATGAAGACTTTTTTTCCTCCCATTGCTATTGCTTTTATAGTTATGATACCTTCTTTGGTCAGTTTTTGATTAATGTGTCCAACATCATATCATCTTCCTTGGATGATTCATATGCGTTTCGGATACATCCAAAGCAACATCCGCTGATCCCTGGTCGACATCGTTTACGGTTGAGACTAGGACGGTATTTGATCGTCTTCGAGCCCCCAACTTTCGTTCTTAATTAATGAAAACATTCTTGGCAAATGTTTTCGCAGTTGTTCGTCTTTCATAAATCTAAGAATTTCACCTCTGACTATGAAATACGAATGCCCCCGGCTGTCCCTGTTAATCATTACTCCGATCCCGAAGGCCAACACAATAGGATCAGCATCCTGTGGTGTTATCCCATGCTAATGTATCTAGAGCGTAGGCTTGCTTTGAGCACTCTAATTTCTTCAAAGTAACAGCGCCGGAGGCACGACCCGACCAATTAAGGCCAGGAGCGCATCGCCGACAGAAGGGACGAGCCAACCGGTGCACACTAGAGGTGGACCGATCGACCCAACCCAAGGTCCAACTACGAGCTTTTTAACTGCAACAACTTAAATATACGCTATTGGAATTGGAATTACCGCGGCTGCTGGCACCAGACTTGCTCTCTAATGGACCCTCGTTAAGGGATTTAGATTGTACTCATTCCAATTACCAAACTCAATGAGTTCGGTATTGTTATTTATTGTCACTACCTCCCCGTGTTAGGATTGGGTAATTTGCGCGTCTGCTGCCTTTTAGTGACTCTGTTTGCTTTGTTACTTCTGAATAAGTTTTTCCTTCCTTCCTCATGCTTTGCCACAACCTTGATTTTTCCTCCGCAATTCTGTTTCTGTTTCTATCACCATACCTTTTCTATTAACCTCTTGCAATTCTCTCGCGGCATTACTATGTATCAACTGATTCACTAGTGTACTGATTCTAGAAAATTTTGCGATATTTACCCACACCTTAAAAGACCCGAATCATATATCCTTCATTTGATTCTCTAACCATCCCTCGTTTTTTTTGGTTACTTCTACCTTACGTAACTCATGTCTTAATATGTCTAAATGTATACAAAAATGTCAAAACGGCTAAACTGCAATTTTAATTAAAAATAAATAAACCAAACCTCAGTTAAGTGAGTCTGGTACGATTCTTATCTTCAAATATTAATATAAATTAAAACCAAGCGAGTTTCTACCATTCTTAATCTTCAATAATATTTTCTTTTCAAGATTGTATTAAAAACAATATTTCTTTTTGACTATAAGGGATAGGTTTATCTTATCCAAATATATAAATTAAAATTTAAACGCATTAATTCTTATCAGCTAGCTAAGTGTCAAGAATGATTATTTCAGCAGCTGTTGAAAAGTGGTTTTGATTGATTATACTAAGTTAAAACCATATTATATGTGCCATGCTGAGTCATTTACTTGACTTTAAACATATCTTACGAATGAAAAAAGTAACGCAAATTAATTCACTGGGCAAAGAAAGTTAATGATCCATAACTTAGAAATCGATACAATGAGTTTTTGCTATCCCATATGATACAATAATGATCCTCAAGGAAGATATAGAAAAAGCATGAGGACAAGCACAGAACCATAAACCCATAATATTCAATCAGAGACAGCAATCTAGGGCACAACAACAACATAATCCAGCACAACTGCAAGCAAAAAAGACACAAGAAAATAAGTTTGAATTAAAGATAGTCAATAAAATAAGTAGCCATAAGATATGATTAAACTCACCATCCTTTCCAGAAACCATCACCCCTACTGATTGTTTTGACTGGAACAGTTTGTTGTTGGGGATCATCTTTTGTGGGATAGCCTATAGGTGGTGGTGGAGCAACTTGGTGGTTCTTCTCACCCATAGCTGGATATGCAATCACTGCTCAAAATTAACAACACTAATAATTAGATTAATTCAATAATAATTCTTAGCTTTGAATACTAATAATTAGATTAATTCAATAATAAAAATAAACTTACCAGGAGATTGTTGTTGATTGATATTGTGATTCATTGCTATTGACTTTTTGTATAAAGGAAAGTCAAAAGTGTGTGTGAGATTAAATTGGATGATGAGAATAACGAATAGATTATGTGTATATATATAGATAGGTATTTGCATAGTCGTGAAGGAATAAAAAAAAACGCGTTTTAGGTGAGCAGAAATAAGTGATTTTTTTTGTTTGTTTTTAAAATAAATACCGGTTTATTATTAGATCGATTAATCTGATTTAGAGATAAATTTTAATATTATTGAATTAAACTAACAATTAAAGAAATAAGTGAACTTCTTGGAAGCAGCCTTTTACCTAAAATAATACTTACGTAAATGATGATTTCTCATGAGCATCTATTCCGTCTACTGATAGAATATAGAAAGCTACTTAATTATTGCAACTTGGCAATTTGGTAAAGCAAGTAAGTATTTGGTGTAGGCTATGACTATTTTCTATTTAAATAAAATTTATTTAAGGATGATGTGCTTAGAAGAAAATTTAAGTCCCTTAGAAAAAATTGAGTAAATTATGCCATTTTTTTTAATGTAAACATATTTCTCAACAAAAATACATAAATAACTAGTTTTTTTATTATAATTTTTATATTTTATTAAAAATATTCATGTTTTAAATAAAAAAATTTCATACGTAGAGTTTAAATCAATTGAATTGACGCCCCTCCTGCTTTTTCTGACTTTCACGTGGATGGCTTCACCATCTTTCATTCTTTTTACCTTTGCCGAGCATGCATCTGTCTTAAAAAAAATTTATATTGGATTTTTTTCTTTTACTTAAATCTTTTTTTTTATCACACTTTCTGCTTTCAAATAAGTTATGTCTACTTACTGATATCTCATTATTTTCTTATTCAAAATTTTTCTTTTCTTTTTTCCTTTTACATTTGTTTTGTTCTTCCATCATCACACATTGTTCTACCTCCAAAACACTATCTTCTTCCAATATTTCATCCCTTCAACATAAATTGTTTCCGTTGTTTCGAAATGGCCAGACCGTTAGAGAAGATTTGCGACCTAAATGACACCAAAAAATTGTGAAAGGTTGCAGTAAGGATGCACCATAAATTGTTGGTTCTTTCTAATAACAAGGAATTCTTTGAAGGATCTTCATACACAAAGATATAAGTTTCCTCAATTAGTAAAAATATAACTTCTGCATAAATTTTATATCTCTTTTGGTCATTCTTGACGCTCTCCTTTTACTTTATCTATATTACGATTGTGTTTTGGTAATATAGGGTTTTTTCACACCGTTTGGTGTTATGCAATATGGTGTTTCAATCGTGTTTTTCTTTTCCTTCTTTGTCAGGGGTCTGATATACACGTTGTTATACCAGCAGCATATATGATCGCATTCAAGGACAAGTTAACTGTGAACCACACTTACACCATTTCCAACTTTAACGTTCAGCAAAATGATTTGGTCTTTCAACCTCCGAGCCATAAGTATATGGTGAAGTTTACAGGAGGGACATTCGTTAATGATGTTAGTAAACATGTCATACCGCCCAAAACACATAACTTTACTAGTTTTGCTAATATCATGACCGACCGATTTCAGAAAGATGTACTCATATGTACTCATAGGTATCCTAGGGTCTTTTTATTTCCAATTTATGTCTATTATGTTATACTTTTAAATGCCTGTTGTTTTTTCTAGACATTATAGGAATGGTAAATAGTATTGGTTTCGCACAGACACAATCAGAAGGAAAAAACAATAAGTAAATTTTATACTGAGGGACCACATGCAAGTGTGTGTATTGTTTCCCATAACACACTCATCTGCCACCTTTTTTACTTCCTATTTTGTAACAACATAATATACATTCTTACACTTTTTGTAGCAACGACACCATCGGCTGTACTCTTTGTGAGGCGTATGCTTCCCAATTCATAAAGTTTAACCAAGATCGGGTCAATATGTCTGGTCTAACTGTTGTTTTGCTTTAATACGCAAAAGTCAAGGAAGAGGGTTAGCCGATTATTTTTTGTTATTAATGTTTGTCCTCACACTATGCCAGAATTGACTTTTAGCAGCGCATACAAAGACAACGCTTTTTGAAAAAGCGCTGTTAAAGAGTCATTAAAAAAAAGAAAAACAAATCACACCTTAGACAGCGCTTTTTGAAAAGCGCTGCTAAAGGGGGCCCTAAGAAAGCGCTTTATTAAAAGCGCTGCTAAAGGGGGCCCCTAAGAAAACGCTTTTGTAAAGTGTTGCTGTAGGTGTAACCTACGAGAGCGCTTTTTTTATAAGCGCTGCTATATGTGGTATGAAAGAAAGCGCTTTTAGAAAGCGCTGCTATATGTCATGCCTAAGGCACACCTTAGAGAGCACTTTTTAAAAGCGCTGCTAAATGCCATTAAGAAGCGCTACTATAGGTATAATTAGAATAAATTTAAAATACCCACCAGAATTTTTAAAAGAAACAGAACAATTGTACCCTTCTTTCCTTCTTTCTCCTCTGCGAATGTTGCCCTATTCACCACGACCACGACCGATTCCGTCGATTCCCTCCATCCGACAGCCGCCGACCGTCACCCTCCTCCGTTCATTCAGTCTGCATTGCATTTTTCTGCCATTTGTCCGTCCGTTTTCGACAGTCTCCGTCCGTTCATTCTGTAGCGCATTTCCGCCATTGTTACGGTATTTGAAGTTTTTCACTTTTCATTTTTCTGGATTATTGTCTTAGTATTTCATTTTTCTGGATTATTGTTTGATATGATGTTAGTGTTACTTCTTTTCTGAGTTATTGAGCTCTGAAGGTAGTTCTTTCGAATGTGTTGTTTTCTCATTTATCTTCAACTGTGAATGATTTTCTTCTCTTGTTTTGCTGTTTAACAATAGTGTCTTAATCTCAGTGTCAGTTTAAATGTTAATTTTCTCATTTATCTTCAACTATGAAGGATTGTGTTAGAATCTTGTTGACGGAAGAAATCTTTCTATTCTTCTGTTAATTCCTTAAGGGCGTTAGTTGATTTTTTGATTTCATATTGGTGATTTTACTGCAAAATACAACAATATTTACACTGATTTATACTATAAGGAGGCTTTTATGTAGTATTTGTATCCGTTAGAGTATGTATTCACCAAATAGCAATGTTGTTTCAATGAAACATGGTAAAGAACTAGTTTTTCCTCTTGTTGTTGAGGAGGGTTAAATTGTGAGCAAAATTGAGTTTTTGATTTCAAATAAGTTTAGTGCTCTTTGATTTACATATATCAAGCTCTTTTAATAAGAAAATGTTTTTTTTTCATGTCTTAGATACACGTCTATCCTATTTTATTGAACATTTTAGAAGTTTATGCTTGAGATTTCAAAGGAAGAGACACCACTTCCACATTAATGTATACGAGTCTATTAAGAGTTCAAATATAATTAGAGTTCGACTTTATAAGAGTTTTAGTCTAACTTTAAAATATGAGTAGTCCGTTTGACCCATATAATTAAAAATTCTTAAATTGTACTAATATTTATGTCAAGTAGTTTGTATGAAATATGAGTAGTCCGTTTTATGGTTTTTTATTTTGTTCCTCATTTTATAGTTTTTTAGTTGTTCCACCTTTTTCTTTTAATATTATAAGGCTTTATTAAAAGAAGTTATCAACTATATAAGAAGTTGTTACATTATTGCAAGTTTTATCAACAATTGATGTTCCAAGAATTATTAAATGTTGATGATGTTATTAATTTTGTCTGTTATAGGGGTTACCTGTGAAGAGCAAGGTTGTGATCGTTTTCAAGCATCCTACTGTGTAGCTTTCTTAGAAGTTATTGATTTATTTACAGGTATTCTCTGTTTTTGTTTAATTTTCTTAGTTTAGTTTAGACTACTCAATTAGTATGGATAAAAATGGACTTCTTCTAATCGATTGTCTAAAGAGTACGAGAATGGGGTATCAAAATTCGTTAAGTTTGCTATTGAACACGCCAAAGACCCCAATAGGATCGCATGTCCTTGCTTAGGTTATTGTTATAGGCGTCGAATTGACGCTGTTCAGTTGGAATCTCATTTAATGAGACATGGAATTGATCGAAGTTATACATGTTGGACATTACATGGTGAGATAAGTAACGAGAATGTCGAACCCGGGGATAATACGACCTATGCTTCAAAGGACAATGGAAGAGATACATATGATTGTGATCGAGTCGAAGAGATTGCAGAAGCACTTGAAGAAGATCTTCAAGATTGTCCCAAGATGTTTGAGAGGTTGGTAAGCGATGCAGAGAAACCGTTGTATAAAGGTTGCACTACTTTCACAAGATTGTCTGCGGTATTAAAGTTGTACCACTTAAAGGCGGGTATGGATGGTCGGATAAAAGTTTCACAGAGTTGTTAGCCCTACTTCAAGAGATGCTTCCGGAGGATAATGTTCTTCCCAGTCGAACCTATGAAGCTAAAAAATGTTATGTTATATTTGCATGAGCTATGATAAGATACATGTTTCTCCAAATGATTGCATTTTGTTTCAAAATGAATATGCATCATTAAACGAGTGTCCTAAATGCGGTGTATCGTAGTGAAAAAATGTTATTCTCTATTGTCACCAGCAAAAGTCTTATGGTATTTTCCTATAATTCTGAGATTTAGACGCATGTTTCGTAGTGAAACAGATACAAAACACCTGACTTGGCATGCAAATGATAGAATTATAGATGGGAACTATCGACATCCGGCAGATTCACCATAGTGGATGAAAATTGATAATGAGTATCCTGATTTTGGAGAAGAAGCTAGAAACCTTCGCTTGACATTATCGACTGATGGAATGAATCCCCATGGTCTACAAAGTATCTCACATTCCACCTGGCCTGTAATTATTATGATTTATAACCTACCTCCATGGCTATGTATGAAGCGTAAGTACATGATGTTATCTATGTTAATTTCTGGCCCTAAACAACTAGGGAATGACATAGAAGTATACTTGACACCTTTAATCGAAGACTTAAAGAGTTTGTGGGAGAACGGTGTGGAGGTTTATGATGGATATA